CTGCGGAGCGTTCCCGCCGGCCCGGCCCCGCCGCCTTCCCGCCGCGCCACCCTCATGTGACTCAGAAGGGGGCGGTGCCAGTCCCTGCGGAGTGACGGCGGACCCGGCCAATCGCGCGCAGCACCCACCCCGCGCCCGCCGCGGATTGGCGGCCGGGCGGGCCAGTCAGGCGGTGGGGCGGGTGTGCGGCGAGGCAGCAGGGAGGCCGCGGTGGCAGCGAGGTAAGATGGCGGCGGAGCCGCTCGCCCCGAGTAGGGTGCGTACAGCTCTTTGCCGCGACGCTTTGCGCGCTTCCCTGCGGCCCTTCCGCCTCGCCCCAACCGGGGGGCCGGTTCTTTCTCCGCCCTCCGCTCCGGCGGCGCTGCCTGGGCCCCCCTCGGGAGCGCCCCTCACGCTCGCCGCCCGCGGACAAAATGGCGGCGCCGGGGCAGCCGCGCGGTGGGACTGCGCGTGCGCGGGGCCTGGGTGCGGGGCGGGCGGCGGAGCATGTGCGCGGGGACCATGCACCGGGAGCACGGGATGGGCACCGGGAGCAGGGGCCGCGCTCTGAGGAGCCGTACGGGGAGAGGGGACCCTGCACTGGAGCCGCACGGGGTGGCGGGGACCCCGTACGCGTGAGTGCTGAGGCGGTGGGAAGCGTGGGGAGTGCGGGGCTGGGAGGTGGTGCCCACTGAGGAGGAGGATGGGACCGGGGGGATGGATGATGCTCTGAAGGGGTGGGGGTTGGCGTTGGTGGGCTGCTATGGAAGGGAGCATCGTGCCCACGTGTGGAGCCCTGGGATTCCTGGGAGGAAAGGGCCCTGGGGTGGTGGGGACAGGGGGGCATCTCTGGGGCATGTCTCCTTCCCTCAGCCACACTGCTGGCCGGCAATTAGTGCTCGTTATACCCACATGGCTGTGTCTGGAAGGGAGCGTCGTGCCCTGGAGCCGTGGGATTCCTGCGCTGGGAGGAAAGGGCCCTGCGCTGGGGCGGTGGGGACAGGGGGGCACCTCTGGGACACATCTTCTCCCCTCAGCCACAATGCTGGCCGGCAATTAGTGCTTGTTATACCCACGTGCGGTGGGAAGCGTGGGGAGTGCGGGGCTGGGAGGTGGTGCCCACTGAGGAGGAGGATGGGACCGGGGGGATGGATGATGCTCTGAAGGGGTGGGGGTTGGCGTTGGTGGGCTGCTATGGAAGGGAGCATCGTGCCCACGTGTGGAGCCCTGGGATTCCTGGGAGGAAAGGGCCCTGGGGTGGTGGGGACAGGGGGGCATCTCTGGGGCATGTCTCCTTCCCTCAGCCACACTGCTGGCCGGCAATTAGTGCTCGTTATACCCACATCTTGGCATGGATGGTGCTGCTTGGTAGCTCAGGTGAGCAAGGTGTAGTTCATTCTGTGCAGAAAATGGGTTGCTGCAAAGCTAAAAGTTTCCTCAAGACATTGGAAGAATCTGTCTCTATAAGAGCAACTTCATATCCCGCCTGTTCAAGGGGGTCAAAGAGGTTTATTCAGATACATTAGCAGATGCTGCTGCTTGTCTTTCTTTCTGCCAGTAGTTTGTTCCGTTTCTTTTATCAACACTTGCATCTCTCCAGCAGGTGTTGGCATGAACAGAATTCGGATCCACGTTTTGCCGTCAAGCCGAGGGCGCCTTACTCCTGTGCCGCGGCCGCAGGAGCCTCTGTCCTGTGCCTTCACCCACCGCCAGTGCTCCCAGCCGCGGCTGGAGGGGCAGGAGTTCTGTATCAAGCACATTCTTGAAGACAGGAGTGCCCCTTTCAAGCAGTGCAGCTACGTTTCAATAAAGAATGGAAAGCGGTGTCCCAACGCTGCGCCCAAACCAGAGAAGAAGGATGGGTGAGTACCTCTGTCTCCTAGTTCTGTACTGTATAGAATTAACAATGGGCAGAAGGAGGTCTTTCTGACTCAGCTGCTGCACTTACGTTACCCCATACAAGTGGCTCCTTTCTGAAGTGTTTTCAAGCTGGAAAAAGACTCTGTGAGTGCTGGAGACTGCGTGGAGTTGTCTTGGTCGTGCAGGACTGTTGGGTTCTGCCCTCTGCTATCAGGAGGTGGCTGCAGTGACCCAGGTCCTTTGGAAGAGCTTTAGGTGCACCCACACAGTGCCGTTCCTCCGCTCAGCCCAGCGGATTTAACTTGTGGATCATCCTTAGCACAGAGGCTCTGAGTGTGTGTTATGTGGAGTTGATGACCTGGTTGTGCTTCTTGTCCTCTGATGCATGTGAAATGTTCTGATTGCTGTGGGTGGAAGGACCGAGAACAGTTATTGATGTTCAGTGGGCACAGCAGCACAGATTCCCTGATGGGAGCATTGACCCTATTTTCTCTGGGGTTGTGGGGGTGCAGACACTGGTGTAGTCACCGTTCTGCCCTTGGGCCCTCTGGGATAAAAAAGATCCACCCGCTGTGGGCCAGCGTGTGTTCCACGTGGAAACTGAGAGTCCACTGTAAAAATCTGGCAGCAGAAGAGCTCACCTCAGTGGCTTTAAGTAAAAAGCTCTTTTCTCTCCCTGCTGCTGTGCCGGGTGGCTGCAGGCTCCGGTGCCAGCGGTGGTGTTTCAGTGGGTGGTGTGTGGTCTGCGACCTGCCAGGGCTCTCTGGCATTTCCAAACTGTCCCTGCAGCCAGCAGCACTCTGCGCGGGGGCTGTGGAGGGGATGTGCTTTCCAGGTGCCAGAGAACGTTTCTCACTGCGTCGCTGGTTCGTTTGGCTGGCTGAGGGCTTGGAGCTGCAAAGAGCTTGTGATTTATTCCTGCAGCGCGTCGTTCTGCGCAGAGCATGCCCGCAGGAACACCCTGGCGCTCCAGGCGCAGACGAAGAAGTCCAATCCTGGGCCTGTCAGCGAGACTCTTCTGTGCCAGCTCAGCTCTTATGCCAAAACAGAGCTGGGCTCTCAGACTGCAGAGAGCAGCCGCAGCGAAGCCAGTCGGATCCTAGGTAAGAATTGAGAGCAAAAACTGGTGTGAGAGCACCTGGAGTTCTCAGTTTTTGTGTGAAAATGCCAAGAATGTCACTTCTTAAATCCTGCTAAAAAATAAAGGGACCCTGGGGTCCGTGGGTAAAAAAGATCGTGTTCTGCAAACCCTGTGGAGTCTCTCCTGCCACTGTCTGTAGACAAGTTTTGCTTCCAGACCAAAATCCTGCAGGTTTTCTTCCCTTGTGCTCGCAGAGCAGAAGTGTTAGCTGCCTTCCCTCTTTGCTGTATCAGTCTCCAGCAGTGTCTGTCCAATGCCCGCTCAGTGCTGAGCTTCCTGGCTCACCGGGTGGCTTGGTGGGACCAGCAGCAGTTCGTGGTTCCTGGGTGTAGTCGGGAGCGATGCTCCACAGGAGCTGTGTGTTTTGCCTGCACCGAGCTGGTTGGTTTCCTGCTATTCCATGTCCCTTGCTCACACTGCACTGGGGAGGAGAAGCCTCAGGGGCTCCGGCCGTCGGAGCAGCGAGTGCTGGGACATAGGACCGTGTCCCATCGCTCGGGGCAACTTGTCCTTTCAGATGAGGACAGCTGGAGCGATGGCGAGCAGGACCCTATCCCTGTGGACCAGACGTGGCGAGGGGACCCGGACAGCGAGGCTGACAGCATTGACAGCGACCAGGAGGATCCCTTGAAGTGAGTTGGATGCTGGTGGCTGCCACACAAGTAGCACACGGAGGGTTCTGAGCTCAGTGTGACAGCAGGAGAGAGTGGTGACGTAGGAGGTGATGATGCTCACGGTGTTGCAGTTGGACTCTGTGCTTTGCTGAGTTGTTAGGTGTGGATGTTTGCAAGTCTTGGACCTGCTGGGACGTATTTGACCATCATCCTCTTTCAGTGTGGAGTGGTCTATTCAGCAGCAGCCTCTGGGTGATCTCCTAACTTTAAAAAAAACCCAGATTTAGTATTTCTGCTCACTGCCCATTGATCTGTATGATCCAGCCCTGTTCAGCCCATGTTTCTGATAACGTCTCTGTCATTTGATCAGAACAGCCCTGAAAGGGTCCCTTACAAACTTCACCCTGTCTGCGTGGCTGTTTTCCAGGCACGCTGGTGTGTACACAGCTGAGGAGGTGGCTTTGATCATGCGGGAGAAGCTGATCCGCCTGCAGTCTCTCTACATCGACCAGTTCAAACGGCTCCAGCACCTGCTGAAGGAGAAGAAGCGGCGATACCTGCACAGCCGCAAGGCAGAGCACGAAGCCATAGGCAAGTACGGGGACAGGGAGTCACTGATCGTGTTCCTCTGGCCCGAGGGCACAGCGCTTCTCTCAAACATATGCAGAATTATAGATTTAAAAAAAAAAAAAAAAAGGTGGTTTTTGCCCTCTGTAGAAGCAGATTTCCGAGCAGTGCTGCCTCAGTAAGGATGAAAATGACTGTGGGACTGAAACTCAGTCAGAGAAGGTATTTCTGTCTCTGGCCTCATGCCCAGAGATTGGTATCGTTCGGGTTAGAAAGGCTGCCGGGTCTCTTTGCTCTTCAAAGTTTGCAGTGTTGTCAGGAAATGAGACTACAAAGTTAATTCTGAGACAAAAGGGGTTTTTTTCTTTTTTTTTTTTAGTATGGGATTTCCTGTTTTTAGTTTTATAAACAAATTTATTCATCTGTTAGGTCCTGTCTGTATCGGCAGAAGTTTTGTTTCGGTAGTTAATTCTGTAACAGCCTATCCCTCCTTAGCACAGATGCAACTTTCCCTTGCAAAAGCACTTCTGCCTGGGTTGGAATTCTACCTGCACAGAACATGCTCTGGGAGGCAGAAGTTGGTAGCTCAGCAGAGGCAGAACCAGGTTGTGGAGTTAGTTGCAAGTACTTCAGGGCACAGAGTGCTTTCTCTAGCACAATCTTAGAATAGCTCATCCAGGAAAATGACATAATACAGCTCAGTCCCAAGTAAAAATAACTGGAAGTTTGGTCTGTAACAATTTTGTAGAACTCTTTTTAGCAAGCCAGTAATAGAAAAGCATATCCCGAGCAGTGCCCTGTAATTACAGCCGGGAGGGCTTGTGGGAAGCTTCCAGAACTTGCACAGGAGCAAGCTGAAATTTGACAAACTTCTGTCCTGCCTGCAGAAATCACAATAGACTTTTGAGCGGCCAAATTATTTTAAAAGATATTTGAAAAGTATTCTGTCATCCCAAGTTGAAAAGTATTCTGTCATCCCAAGCGCTCCTCACGTTCACAGAGAAGTTGGGATAAATTTCGAGATGGAATCTGCTTTGTCATCTCGTGTCACCAAAAGATGTGCTTCCTGTTTATACGTACGACTGTCGCCGCTCGTTGGCTCTGCAGTGACATCTGTGTCGTTAGTCAGCTGTTGGAGCTCTCGACAGCTGATTTTGGCACTGGGTACCAAAAAGTCCTGGAAGGAGGGGGGGAGGTGGGATAGTTTCTGACTCATCCCTCGCTCCCCACAGGCAGCAGCCTCCTGACAGGCCCGGAGGGGCTGATGGCCAAGGAGAGGGAGAACCTGAAGCGGCTGAAGTGCCTGCGCCGGTACCGGCAGCGCTACGGCGTAGAGGCCCTGCTGCACCGGCAGCTGAAGGAGCGCAGGACACTGGCCACCGACAGCACGGCCCAGCAGGTGGGTCCAGCTGGAGCTACAGCCTTGCTTGGGAGAGCAGGGGTTCTCCTCCTCCCTTCCTGGGAACAATTCTGAGCCAGGTCTGCTCTGCCCTGGACAGATTGTCCCTTGTCACCCCTTTCTGCAAGAGCATAATGAAGGGGCAGCACCCTTGGTGTCCACGTGTTGGCTGAAACACTCAGGGGTTCCTAGAGCCGTTTTTAAGGGGCACCAAAACTGCAAGAGTTAAAAGTGTGAGGTTGGGGAATTTTCCCTTTTGAAAGTGAGGGCTCAGTACAAGGTAACCTGACTTTCATCACTGCAAAATGTGGGGAAAATATTCCTTATAACGGTGAAACCCAGACTCTTCCTGGACCTGGGGGGACCCAAAGGCAGGGGTCCTTGCACGACACACAAAACTAAATTTGAAGCTGTGTGTGGCTATTTTCTTGTAACCATTTTAAAATTCAGAGCATTCCCTTAACTGGCTCCTGAAAGTTGAAAAGATAAGTCTGAGAAGCCTCAGTCTTTGAGACAGACTTCTGAGGTGAAGTTCTTCCTATCGCAGTCGAGTTGTGCCTTATTATCTCAGCTCTGTTTAACGACAGCTTGAATGGGAAGGACATAATGAGGAGCGTGGCCCTGCTGGAGTGGAACTGGGAGTTTGGTCGTGGCGTGTTTTGAAAGCGGGACGCGAGTGTTGTAGAGCGGAGGGAGTTTCTCTGGAGCGGAGCCGGGCGGCTCCAGCACGGCTCTGAGCTCTCCCCTTGGCCTCGCAGGCCCACACCACCCGCTCCAGCCAGAGGTGCTTGGCCTTCGTTGACGACGTTCGATGCTCCAACCAGTCCCTGCCGATGACCAGGCACTGCCTCACGCGTATCCTTTGATCTGCCCAGGCTGCCTGAGGCTGCGCTCCTCGCTGTGTGCTGGCAGTTTGAAATGTGTCTGATCCTCCTTTTTTTTTATTTTCCTCTTTGGCCCTCAATCAAGGCCATCGGTTTGTTGTAGCCGTTGGTTTCAAACAGGAGCCCAGAGGAAACGTCTCCCGGTCTGTTGGCGCTCCCATCCCCGTGGAACGGCCAATTCGTGTGGGAGTGACAGAAGGTTGGGCTTTCCCTTGCAGGTCCCATTGCAGCCTTTCCCTGGTATGTTGGCCGATCCAGAGTGTCCAAATGGGGTGGCCATTTCCCTTGGAGGAGACCGGGGAACCTCCTGAAGCCTGAGGGAGATACGAGCTGGTTTCTGGCTGTATTGAAGGATGGTAGAAGCACATCTGCTCTCTGCTTGGCTACGGGTGCTGGGTGCTAACAGCCAACCTGAGTAGGGTCTGTGAGCTGCTGGTACGAGTCCTGCTGAGGGGTGGGCATAGGAAGGGGTGTCTGACCGCTGGAACATGTGCTTAGTGATTTTTGGGAGGACCTGAATATGGGGAGTAGCTTCTAGCCTGTTTGTGGCTGCCATGGACCAGTTCAGACTCCTTTGCCCACTTGAAAGGCTCGCTCGTGTGTGCAAACAGCCAGTTTCCCAAAACAGCCTTGGCTTTTTGAGAGCCAGCGTTGAAATTTCCCCTGGGGTCGGTCCCCCCACCTTGAGCATCACCACCCCAACGTGGGACCCACGAGCTGAGTGTTGCCCTGGGTAGGTCTGTGCAGCTCCTGTGCATGTGGGGGTGGGTGGATGTGTCCAGGAGGGGGTTTCGATCCTGTGGGAGCTGCATTCGCTGCCGCGGCTGCGTCAGTCAGGAGGAGCTGTGGCCCTGAGTCCCAGAGCAGCGCTGGCAGCCAGGGGGAGGATGAGCTCTTTGTTTTGTTTGGGCTCTTGGTTTTGTTACTGAAGTTGGCAGACTTGACTCCAACTATGCGCAAGGAGCAGCCCAGGGAGCAGGAAGCTGCCTTTGTTTCTCTCTAGTGACCCTCTACTTCAAAATAAAGACAGGATAAATACCTATAAAAGAGTTAGAGCAAGTTGCTGTGTGCAGCTGGCTTGCTTTGAGCAGGGCAGGCTGAGAAGGGAGTGGAAAAAGTGAGGTTTGGTTTCCTTACGTTGGAGCTGTCAGCTGACTTTCACTGACACAAACAAGATTTTACTTTGGTTGGCCCCGATGAGCTGATAACATCTGCAGTCTGCTCAGCTTTGTGCATTGTCGAGGCTCTTGGGCTTTGTTTGCTTTTCAGGAGCTGGATTGTTTGTGACAATGCATTAAAGACACCGAACCCAGCTGGGCTGTTGGGCTCCAGGTGGAGCGTGTGATTTTTGTCATCTTGGCAATCCCTGCTTTTTGGCTACCAATAAAGTCAGTGCTTGATCTGGGAGTCATGCAGAGAGATTAAAATCTGCCTTCCCCACCCTGCTGCTCATACAGAGACACTTTTCCTCACCACATCTGTCCTTGAGTGTCAGAAATCTGGCTCCTCTGGGCCGGGCTCCGATGAGGGGCTCCCACAGCCTGCCGGGAGTCGTCTTGGTGCCTTCACTGCTGCCTCAGTGCAGGGAGGAGAGGAGGAAAGGATAAATTTGAAGCCTAGATGGGCATAAGAAATGGGGTTAAACTTGGTGTCTTTTGCCATTTTGTGTGGGTTTGGAAGCTTGGGATATTTTTTCCTCTCCCAAACTGTGCTGTGTGAAGAGGAAACGGCAGCGTGAACCCCACAAACACGGAGAACAGTTATTTGGGTGGGTTTGATATCAAGGTATCTGACCTGAAAAACGTGATCCGCACCTGAAATCTGCCTTTGCCCCAGCTCCAGATTGTGTCACCAAGGGAACAGAGCGAGGCACAGTCTCTGTGCAGGTGACAGTCTCAGATGCTGCTTGCAGCAGTGTGTGGAAACTCCACGGTGGTCAGTAAAGTGCTGTTTGTTCAGACCCTTCTGTGCCCTCGGCAGTGGCTCTGCCTGGAGATTCACAGGAATCTTGGAAGAGGATGGGATTCGGTGTGTAGCTACTCTCTGCTGGTGGATTGCTCTGCAAACGCTGTGCAATTGGAGCAGAGTTTCTGTTTGTGATTAAAGGCAGGAAATCCCATTTACACCTCTGGCAGGAATAGGTTTTCCATTGGGAAGGAAAATGCACTGGGAAGATAGAAATACCGGAACTAAACTCCCGGCTGTGGAAAAAGCATTGTGTGTGCTTGTATCTGTGCTGCCTGTTAGATGTTGAGGTTTGTGCAGATGCCTCTTAAATGGATGTCTGCAAATAAAAGTAAGCCTCTGCATTTGTAATATCTTCCATCTGAGGATCTGCAAGTGCTTTGCAGGGATCCAGCTACATCTCCCAGCCCCCACTGGGAGCCTGTCGCTGCTGTCCCCATTTTCCATCATGCCAATAATGTCACCCGTGTCACCGGGGTGCAACTCTGGAGTCTGGACTCCTGATCTTGAAGAGATGTTGAGGGGGAGGGTTTACACCATTTGCTGGAGGGCGGTGGGCGAGTGGGGGGAATTTGTGCTTCTGGATGTCTTGTCTGTAGCTTGTCTGCCGTGCGGCTTTCCCTTGACCACATCTGCCCAGACATCTGTCAGGACGTGAATCAGACTCTCTTCAAACCCTGTCAGGGCTCCGAGGACGTGCCCTGCGACAAGCCGGTTCCCGTCAGCCTGTCGGAGGAGCCGTGCTGCCCGCTGCACCTCCGGCTGCCCCCGCAGATGTACGTGCCCGAGCAGGTCCTGGCTGTCCCCGAGGAGCTGGAAGCTGCTCCCACCGACCTCTACTTGAGCGCTGCCGAGCTCCAGCCCACGGAGAGCTTGCCCCTGGAGTTCAGTGATGTAAGTTCTGCAGTGCGGGGTGTGCAAGCAGCGTGGCCAGCAGAACAGCATCCCCTGAATATCGCTGGTTTCACGACGTGCCCTGAAGTCCCACTGAAGTACTCGTGGAGCGGGCTGCTCCCGGTGTTCTCCGTGTGGAGCACACGTGGGCATCACGGAAAGCACTGCCTCCCCAGCACAGATAATGGAGAATTATTTTTATTCTTGGGGAAGAAGAATCTTTTGAAAAATCTCTAGGAAGGTTTGGGAGATATTTTTTTTTTCTCTAGGCTTGGCAACTGCTCCTTTAGAAGGGCTGTGCTCTCATTTAAATCCATGTTTAGGGGCTTTTAAAAAAAGAGGATTTCACACACACACCCCCCAACCCCTTCTCTCCCATGAGGAATCCATGAGGATTTTAATCCCCAGATTATTCTGATGTCCTGCATTTATGTTAAGCCTACATGCTTAAAATCCTCTGAAATTTGTTTAAAGAGGAAAAAACACCGTGGTCATTTGGAGCTGCTCCTCTGTCACTTGCTTTAGTATTTGGATGCCCCTGAGATTCTTGAGCACTTTGAGGAGGCGAATCTTACCACCAGTTCAGAGTTTGCTGATGGAGGAGGGAGTGTCAGCAGCTGGGGAGTCCCGGGGACAGTGGCAGTGACACGGGAGAGCGGGTGTTGCTGGGGGGGGCAGGCTGGGCCCTGCACCCCCGAGGTTGGGGGGATGTTACTGCTGCCTCTGCTGGGTGTGGAACCAGCCCCCAGGCCCCTCGCCGTGGGGTAGACCTGGCGTCTTGCCCTGGGAGGTGAGGTTGGTTCGGGTCAGAAATTTAAAAACGCAACTGTTTCTCCCCCAGCCCGTCCTTTGAGATGATTCCCTGTCCTCTGGGGGGTTTCGGGTGCTTCGGGCAGGATCCTGGGCTCCCCGTACCCCACGCCGTGTGTGGGTGCGTGCCCCAGACACCCTGCGAGAGCCTCAGCCCTCGGTTCGGAGCCGCGGCAGCGGGAGGCATCTGTGTTTTATCTCGCGTTGCGCTGGGCTGATGGAGTGCCACTTGCACGTCGCAGGCATCTCGCCTTGATGTCAAACACCCTTTTAGAGCCAAAACAAATCCCGTCCTCTCACAACAAGCCTTGCGGGAATCCCGACCCCGTGCGTCAGCGGGGTTATCCACGCCGATGGCAGCGAGGAATCAGCCAGAGATCGTCCATTCCAAGGAGTTGTGTCGGGGCAAAAGGGGGTTGTGTGGAATCCTGGGAGGGGGGCAACTGCTCCAGGTGCCCCAAGGGGGACAGGGTGGGACCCTGCCACAGCCCTGTCTGCTGCAGGGATGCTGCCGGGGCAGCACATCAGGCTGGACTCCAAAGCTTGTGTCCCACACCTTGTCTCCGGTGGGAGCACAGCGCTGCCAGCCCAGAGCAGCCCTTTTGGGAGGAGGAGGTGGCCCCTGTACTTGCATTCCCAGCTGCTGAGGCTGGGGGAGGGGGGGGAGTGGGGGCTGCCTGCTCCTGCACTGCCCTTGAGGGGAAGGGCTGCGAGGGCTTGTGCTTCTTTCCCCCATGGGGACCCTCGGGACCCCTCCTGCTGATGAGCCGCTCCTGGTGTTTTCTCTCCTAGGACTTGGACGTGGTGGGCGATGGCATGCAGTGTCCCCCATCCCCTCTGCTCTTCGATCCTTCCGTGGCCCTCAACCAGTCCCTCAGAGAGGTGGCTCAGGCCCCCATAGACATTCTGGCGCTGGAGGAGCCCCCCCACCCCGGCCTCCCTCCGCAGCCGGCACCGACCGACAGAGGAGGCTCCTCTGCCCACGTCTTCTCCCCGGCCCCCGAGCCCCCGGCCGAGCCACCGGCGCAGGTACAGCCAAGGAGCACCGGGGACTTCCAGCGGTAGCCCAGCTCCTGCTCCCTGTGCTTCCCAGGGCTCTACAGTGTCTTCCTGGGGACAGAAGTCCCCATTTGCCCTCCCTCTGCGCAGCCGGGCCCTGAGGGGTTTGCTCTCCCACAAAGCCCAGTTTGGCCCCAGCAGTTGCCTCTTCTCCGTGGGTGGCTCGGTGCCACCCTCCTGTGCGTGGGACGGGTGTCGCAGGGGCTGTCTGGGCCGTGCTGGGGGTGTCTCACAGCCTGGGGGTGGCCCACTGTGGGAAGCCCGTTTCCTCCCGTCTGGGGACTTTATGGGGAGCTGTCATCTTCTGGGCACAGGACTTCTGCTTTCTCCTCCTTTGGAGTCTCATTTTTTCGCTTGCAACTTGCTCCTTGTGTCCCACCCCGCAGCCTGTGGCTGGGGCTGTGCCTGCAGGGTGTCTGTGTCTTTGGAGATGTCCTCAGACGCCCCGTCCTGCCTCCCCTGTCACCTCTTGCTGTGGTTTGGGAGTCCTTGCAGTGCCTCTGCCCTTCTGGGAGCCTGGTGTTGGGGTGGGGTGGGGGGTCCCAGGCCCTGGATGAAGGCCACCGGTTTGCCGTAGCCGCTGGTTTCAAGCAGGAGCCCAGAGGGAACGTCTCCCGGTCTGTTGGTGCTCCTGTCCCCGTGGAACAGCCAATTCGTGTGGGAGCGACACCCCCCTGGCCTTGCCCTCGCCTCCCCCCGGGGCAGGTCCTGCTGCAGCCAGCCCACCCCCCCTTTTCTGTCCCCAACAGAGCCACCCGCTGCTGGCGGCGTGTCCCCCAGCACCCAGGGACGAGAGGCGCCTGGAGGAAGCCCCCTCTGCCCGTGGCACGGCCACCAACGGGAGCCTGGAGCTGGGCTCTGTCAGCTGAGCCTGGGGGCTTCTCCCCGTCGGTCCCTGCTGAGACCCCGGCTCTGGGACACCCCTGGGGACCTGCGGGTGTCACTGTCCTTGCCCAGCACCCCCCCGAGTGCCGGGGGCTGACACCCCCCCGTGGGGTGGGATCCTCTCCTGCCCCCAGCTCTGCCCCTCGCTGTGGGGCTGGAGGAGAAGCCACAGGAGGACTTGGGGACGTGTGGGGTGGCTCAGGGCCTCAGAGGGTGGCTCTCTGTGCTGTGGGGCCCTTTGCTGTGGGGTTGTGCCCCCCCCCCCACCATGCTGTGGCGGTTCCCTGAGGGGGGGGAGCTCTGGGGGTCTGTAACTTTGTGGTCCAGGAAGGAGGGTTCCTCCCAGGGGTGACCCCCACAATAAAGCGATGGAGATGGGTGACTCTGGTGTCCCTGGGGGCTGGGGATGCTGCTGGAAGACCGGGAGGATGGAGCA